ATCGATGCAACACCAAATTCTCACAATTCTCATTAAAAGAAATGTACGAAAATCAGTAATGAGAATTGATCTTAATCGTGGATCCTTAAACGTATTATTCATATTTTCCGGACGAAAAACCTCTTTTGTATTCTCAGCGACACTTGTCTAAGCCGCCATTGTTTTAGCTTTATGCTGCCTGCAATTACAGAAATGTATGTTTGTTGACATGGCTTTATTTACGTGAAGCAAAGGAGCTCAGTATCAGTTTATTATTGTCTATTTCGTTGGCAAACGACCTCGACTGTACTGCATGCGACATCATCCAGTTATTCAAACCATATCGAGACAACAGCGGTAAGTTACGCGCAAGCGAGTGGATACCAAATTTCGTAGTAAATAACTCAAATGCTTCCTTAGCTCCAATCACTTAGCGGAAATTTCATGCTAGCTCATATCATATAAAGTATGGAAACGAGTTGAATTATGTTGTTTTAGTCCCACAGGGACGAGAAAAAGTTGGTTAGGCCTTAAATAGTTGCGAGCAAGATTTCGAGTTACCTGTTAGACTGTTAGATTGAGACGCAATTTTCTGTTGTCTCTAATTCCCATCCACACCATCTTTACACCTTCGATATATTACAATAAGGCATTCAACAATGCTGTCAAGTTAAATGCTTCATATTTGACGTAGATTTATTGCTATTTAGAAGAAGTGTTAACTACAGTTTGTTCGAAACAACCAAAAACAATTTAAAACAAGCAAGCAAGCAAAGATCAAGAAAAATCCGTCACTGTTTGCTATTTTAATTTAGCCTAAATAAAACAGTCTAAAGGTAGACCTCCTTACCGCGCAGAGTCAGAGTGGTTTGAAAGTCGTAAGAAATCCTTGTAATAAAGAAGCTGTGTGCTTCGTTCATGGCGCTGTAAAGTTAGCTAGTACACTGCTGCTTCACAACGAATGAGGCCTCAATGGGACTACCAGCTTTAACGCTTCAAAGCGATGCCTCAGTGTGTCAGATCTTTTAATAGGTTTTATCTTTGGTAGTTTGTAGTGCTGGATATGTAATTAGTTAAGATCTCGTATCGGTGTAAACGGTAATTTGCAAGTGTTAAGCTGTAAATGGCTAAGTCTTTATGTTGATTAGGCATGTTGTCTTTGGTGGTCAGGCCAATGAAATACACTTTAACCTTCCTTCTAGATCTTTCAGGTTTCACTTGCACGAAAATTCGTCTGAGAAGGAGATGTTCAACAACACAAACGGAACAGAACGTCAAGGACTTTCTCCAGTCAACACTATCAGCACCAACACTCAAGCAATAGCTGAACTAGTTCCTGTTGCATTACTGATCATCCTTGCCAATGGGTTGGTGTTGGTTTTATTCTCGAAAAGAACACAACTCCGTACACCAGCAAATTACGTGCTTTTCAGTTTGGCAGCTTGTGACTTCATCACCGGAGTCATCAATATTCCCTTGTTCATCGTAACTGCATTCACACCGGCCATCACTTCGTTCAAGGTTCGATATTATATGACTGTTCTGGTGAGCGTGCTAAACAATTTTACAGCCATATTAGCTTGCTATCACATACTCGCTGCCACTACAGAGAAATATCTGTCGATAATCTGGCCAGTAACGCATCGCTCGATGACGAGAAAAACCGTTTTTAAAGTGCTTCAAGTTGTTTGGGTAGTGTCTTTCATTGTGGCTTTCATTCCCTTTGCCTGGGTCAACATAGAGGATAAAGAAACGCAAGAGAAATTAACACTAGGCCATGTCATATTCTGTCTCGTGGCAGTCTTCCTGTTGCCGTATGCATTCATGATCTATGCTTTTGTGGTTATTTTCAAATCTATTGCCAAAAGGGGCAAAGCGAAAGAAAACACTTCCTCACGGACCTCGCAGCTCAGTCGACAAGCCGCTCTCGAAAAAAGATGCTTGATTTTGTTCGCTTCCATGGCAACAGTCTTCCTTGTATGTTGGTTGCCATGGTTTATTTTGATGTTGTTGTTCAAAGTAAAAGACAATGTTAAAGAGCTGGAAATCCCTGCTCACGCGTTTGTCCTCGTTAGGTATACTACCTCTATCATAAATCCTGTTCTGTATACTTTCTTTAGGCGTGATTTTAAAACAACTCTAAAATCCTTGTTTCAAAACAAGAGATCACGATACTTTTCTTCGTCATTGTTTTTAGAGGACAGTAAAGTCAATGAACCAAGGGTAAAACTGACTGAAAAAATGGCTGAAGATGTTGTCTAGGACCCAAGTTCAGTCAGTGACGATCCTTTCAATTTGAATAATGAAATTGAGTTAAGTTTTAATGGAAAAATGTTTTAATAGAAACAGTTCTTTCAAGTCTAAAGTAAATGTATGATGTACCGTGTCTGTTTGTTGATGAATTACGTGTGTTTATAAAAAATTGTAAGTAACTTCAAATCAATGAAAATTAATAAACTAAAAAAAAAATTTAAGGTCCTGCGGGGACTCCCACTAGAACTCCCACTGTATCAAAAGGACAAGGTCGGGGGTGCTCGTCGAAAATTTTGAAAAGATAATCTCTGCTATGTTGCGCTACGTTGTGCTGTTCTCTGCTACTAGTTTTTAGGTTGGGTTATAGAGTGCCATTGTGTGTCATGCTGAAATAATTTCTTCTATTCTCTGCTATGTTGCACTACGTTGGGCTGATTCTGCTACTAGTTTTTGGGTTGGGTTATAGAGTGCCATTGTGTGTCATGCTGAAATAATTTCTTCTATTCTCTGCTGTGTTGCGCTACGTTGGGCTGATTCTGCTACTGGGTTTTGGGTCGGGTTATAGAGTGCCATTGTCTGTCATGCTGAAATAATTTCTTCTATTCTCTGCTATGTTGCGCTACGTTGGGCTGATTCTGCTGCTAGTTTTTGGGTTGGGTTTTAGAGTGTTATGGTGTTTCATACTGAAATATTTTGTTCTATTCTCTGCTATGTTGCGCTAAGTTGTGCTGATTTGTATCAATAGTTTTTAGGTTGGGTTAAAGAATGCCATAGTGTTTCACGGTGAATTATTCTGTTCTATTCTCTGCTATGCTGCGCTACGTAAGGCTGTTTTCTGCCACTAGCTTTTAGGTTGGGTTATATAGTGCCATGGTGTGTCATAGTAAAATATTTTGCCATTTTCTCTGCTATATTGGGTTACGTTGTGCTGTTTTCTGCTACTAGTTTTTAGGTTGGGTTACAGAGTGCTATGTTGTGTCATGCTGTAATATTTTCTCATTTTCTCTGCTATGTTGCGCTGCGTTGTGCTGTTTTGTACTAACACTTTTTAGGTTGGGTTTTAGAGTGCCATGGTGTGCCATGCTATTTTACGGCCAGCACGCTCGAAACCAAGCGTGCAATTATTTTTACCCTGTCGATTTCACTGAAAAGCAAGGTCATCACCAGATAGTTTAGAGTCCTCGGAACTGGGAAATATCGCCCAATTTCTTGGAAAGCAAGATTAAGGTGGCCAAAATCAGGCTGCGCTTAGGCCGGTCCCGGCTACTTTTTCAGTGTTTAAATTAAGTGGGGCTATATATCGGCCAGCGAGCTCGAAACCGAGCGTGCAATTATTTTTTCCCCAGTGGATTTTACCAAAAACCAAGGTCATTACAAGTTAGTGTGCTGTTTTCTAGTGATAGTTTTAAGGCTGGGTTATAGAGTTCCATGGTGTGTCATGCTGAAATATTTTGCCCTATTCTCTGCTATATTTTACTACGTTAGGCTGTTTTCTGCCACTAGCTTTTAGGTTGGGATTAAGAGTGTCATGGTAAGTCGTACTGTAATATTTTGCCATATTCTCTGCTATAATGCGCTAAGTAGTGATGTTTTCTGATTCTCAATGTTAGCATAGGTTAAAGTGTACCCTGGTGTCTCATGCTGAAATATTTTGCCATATTCCCTGCTATATTTTACTACGTTAAGCTGTTTTCTGGCACTAGATTTTAGGTTTGGTTTAAGAGTGTCATGGTAAGTCGTGCTGTAAGATTTTGCCATATTCTCTGCTATAGTGCGCTACGTAGTGCTGTTTTCTGATTCTCAATGTGAGGTTAGGTCATAGAGTGCCCTGATGTCTCATGCTGAAATATTTTGCCAGCTTCCCTGCTATATTTTACTACGTTAGGTTTGGTTTAAGAGTGTCATGGTAAGTAGTGCTGTAGTGATATTTTCCGGGACTGGAAAATATTCCCCAAGTTCCTGGAAATCGACCAAAAGTTGGTTAAAATCACGCTGGGCGTTAGGCGGTCTCTTTTACTTTTTCAGCCTTAAAATGAAGTGGGGCTATATTTCGGCCTAGAAGCTCGAAACCAAGGGTGCGATCATTTTTCCCCTGTGCATTTCACTGAAACCCCAGGCCATCACAAGTTACTTTAGAGTCCCTGGGAATGGAAAATATCCCCCAAGTTCCTGGAAATCGACCCAAAGTTGGTCAAAATCACGCTGCACGTAAGGCGGTCTCGGCTACTTTTTCAGCCTTAAAATGAAGTGGGGCTATTTTTTGGCCTAGAAGCTCGAAACCGACCGTGCGATCGTTTTTCCCCTATCCATTTCTCTGCAAAGCAAGGCCATAAGGAGCTGGGACTGGGAAATATCCCTCAAGTATCTGGAAATAGAGGCAAAGTTGGTCAAAATCAGGCTGCGCGTAAGGCGGTCTCGGCTACTTTTTTTTCAGTCTTAAAATGAAGTGGGGCTATATTTCGGCCTAGAAGCTCGAAACCGAGCGTGCGATCGTTATACCTCTGTCCAATTCACTGAAAAGCAAGGTCATCAGGAATTAGTTTAGAGTCCTTGCGAGTGGGAAATATCCCCCAAGTTGCTGGAAATCGAGGCAAAGTTGGTCAAAATCACGCTGCGCGTAAGGCGGTCTCGGCTACTTCTTTTCAGTCTTAAAATGAACTGGGGCTATATATTTCGGCCTGAAAGCTTGAAACCGAGCGTGCGATCGTTTTACCCTAGTGCATTTCCCTACAAACCAAGGCAATCAGGGGCTAGTTTAGAATCCCTGGGACTGGAAAGTATCCCTCAAGTTGCTGGAAATCAAGGCAAGTTCCGGCAAATCGAGCCAAAGTTGGTCAAAATCACGATGCGCGTAAGGCGGTCTCGGCTACTCTTTCAGTCTTAAAATGAAGTGGGGCTTTATTCCCGGCTAAGAGCTTAAAAGCGAGCGTGCGATCGTTTTACCTCTGTCCATTTCTCTGCAAACCTACGCAATCAGCAGTTACTTTAGAGTCCTCGGGACTGGAAAATATCCCCCAAGTTCCGGAAAACCGAGCCAAAGATGGTCAAAATTACGATGCGCGTAAGGCAGTCTCGGCTAATCTTTCAGTCTTAAAATGAAGTGGGGCTATATTTCGGCCTAAAAGCTCCAAACCCAGCGTGCGATCGTTTTACCTGTGTCCATTTCCCTGAATAGCAAGGCCATCAGGAATTAGTTTAGAGTCCCTGAGACTGGGAAATATCCCCCAATTTGCTAGAAATCGAAGCAAAGTTGGTCAAAATAACGGTGCGCCTAAGGCGGTCTCGGCTAGTCTATAAGTCTTAAAATGAAGTGGGGCTATATTTTGGCCTAGAAACTCGAAATCGATCGTTCAAATATTTTTCCTCTTTCCATTTCACTGAAAACTAGGTCGATCACGAGTTAGTTTCGAGTCCCTGGGGCTGGAAATTTTCTCCCAAGTTCTGGCAAATCGAGCCAAAGTTGGTCAAAATCACGATGCGCGTCAGGCGGTCTCGGCTCCACTATCAGTCTTAAAATGAAGTGACGTGGGGCTATATTTCGGCCTAGAAGTTCAAAACCCAGCGTTCAAATATTTTTCCACTGTCAATTTCACTGAAAACCAAGGCCATCAGCAGTTAGTCGAGAGTCCCTGGGACTGGAAAATATCCCTCAAGTTACGGCAAATCGAGCCAAAGTTGGTCAAAATCACGATGCGCGTAAGGCGGTCTCGGCTACTCTTTCAGTCTTAAAATAAAGTGGGGCTATATTTCGACTTAAAAGCTCGAAACCGAGTGTGCGATCGTTTTACCTGAGTCAATTTCTCTGCAAACCAAGGCCATCAGCAGTTAGTTTAAAGTCCCCGGGATGGAAAATATCCCCCAAGTCCCAGAAATCGAGCCAAAATTGGTCAAAATTACGATGCGCGAAAGACGGTTTCGACTAGTCTTTCACTCTTACAAAAAAGTGGGGCTATATTTCGGCTTAAAATCTCGAAAGCGAGCGTGGGATCGTTTTACCTGTGTCAATTTCTCTGCAAACCAAGGCCATCAGCAGTCTTTTTAGAGTCCCCGGGAC